CGACTGCATCAACAAACGGATAGCTGGTAGAACTGATGAGCAATATTATCAAGACAACAAAGATATAATCAATGAGCGACACCAACAACATTATCATTTACATAGAGAAGCAATATGTCACAAGCACCGAGAATATTACGAAGGAAATAGAACCAAAGTTTTGAATAATCAAGCTCAAAGGGTGTTGTGCGAATGTGGGTCAGAACATAGGAAAGGAGACAAAGCCAAACATCTAAGGACAAAAAAACATTTGGAGTATGTCTGCGCGAAGTCTGAAGAGCGAAAATAATATCATCTTTATTATAATGAGTAGTTCTAATAAAGATGATATAATTAACAAGGTTTATTACGATAGAAGCGGTTTCGGTAGTAAGAATCGCACATTAGAAGAAGCACGGGAGAAATACAAAACCATCACAATGTCTGATATCAATGATTTCTTTAGGAAGAACGTTGAGCAGAAGCGCAAACCTGTTGGTTCCAACAGCTTTGTCGCTCCTCATTCGGGATGGGAGTATCAGATGGATTTGTTTTTTATCAACGACTTGAAAGATCAAAAGTTTAGAGTAGGGATGTTAATGATTGATATATTTGATAAGTTTATGCATGTCGTGGCAATTAAAGGTAAAAAGGAGGAAGACTTAGCTAGTGGGATGATTGAAAGCTTACATAAAATGGGGAAGAAGCCAAAGATGATTTTTACCGATGATGAACCCGCCATGAACAAGGAGGCAATACAAAAGTATTTACAGGAACAGAACATAGAACACTATAGAACTAGGGCACACGCAAATTTCAGCGAAAGGGCCATTAGGACGTTCAAAGATTTATTATATCGGCGTGTTGAGGCGGATCAGAAAAAGGGTAAAGACAATATTCAGTGGACTGATTACATTTTTGAAATATTATTAACATATAACAATAAAATGAAACATTCCGCTACTGGTTTCACCCCAAAGGATGCCAGAAAACCGAGCAACGAATTAAAAGTCAAACTGCATTTAAATATGAATGCTAAACGAAATCGGGTCTATCCCGAGGTTGAGGTTTCAGACGAAGTGAGAATATTCAGGAAAAAGAAACCGAATGAAAAAGAAAGAGTGGGCAATTTCAGCCAAAATGTTTATACCATAGAAAAAATTGATGAAAAGCTGGGCCAAAAATATTATTATGTATCAGGGAATGATAGGGCGTATTTGCGATTTGAGTTGCTAAAAGTTTAATTTATTTTCAGAAAAAAGTTTCACTGGAGGATCTGACACGTAGATATGTCAACGAGGAAATGTTCAAGTTGAAAGCTGTTGGGAATGCGACCAAATAAGCAAGGCTAGCAAAATCAAATTTACGACTGCCACTATGCGACAATGATATGTGCCATAAGTGTATGAAGGAACAAAACAAAATGAACGACTTTGATGAATACGTTTATTGGTCGAAAGGCAACAACATGCGATGATGTTGTTGTAGTTGTGTTCTCATTGTTTGTACCTCGATACGACTCACACAATGAAATACAATAAACAAACATTAACTGATCAAACAGCCCGAGAAACAAACTATGAAGCGCAGACATGGCGTTGACCATGCTTTGACGCTTCATTGCGTGCTGCACTATACAAAACAGGTATGAAAAGGATATAACACCAAAAGCTTGCTGCCTTAAGTTTAACCATCGCAATATCACGCGAGAAATAGCCTTATTACGCAACAACCATGTCTTGATTTTAACTTGATGTGCGCCGCGCTTCTGTTTTTTCCTCGTGTATGTCTAGTTTGGTCGCAATGTTTTTTGCGCGTGCTCATGAGTGTTGATTTACTCGTTTCCTTGAAAATGACACTTTGCAATACACGAGAACGCTTAGAAGACCCAGCGATACCCCCAAGGGGCTGGCAGACGTAGAGAGCGTTTGGGTTGTCGAACTCTCATGGTAGTGCTCGAGGATTGACGACACGCTTCTTGTCGGATTCCTGGCAGGCGATCTGGGGAGCTTGGCTCGGAAAGCCCGAAAGCGTCAGCTGATAGCAGAATAGGTGGTGAACAGATATCCAACCTAAAGGCGGAACCCCAAAATGGGGTGAACAAGCACCCTAAACACAGCCTGCTGGAAAACGACGAAAAGATCTAAAGCAAACCGCAAGCCAACAACAACAACAACAACAACAACAACAACAACAACAACAACATATGAGCGACTGCCAAAACCGGCCGGCGGTGCTAATGGACGCAACATGAGGGGTGTCGCTTTACAAGTGTTCCCATCGATTTACAACGTTTTAGCATCAGTTATCCACGCTTGAAGTCTTCGGGGAAAAGTCAAGGCTCTAGCCAACCACAACGATTCATTAATCCAGGGGTGTGGCTTTTCAAGTGATCCCATCACTTTACAGGGTTTTAGGCATTCGTGTCCACCCCTCGCCTACTTGAATGGCTGGGGCTTGGCGCTTGCCAAAATTTTTCACGCAGCAACCTCAGAAAGCCACGGCCACCAATGGCATCGATTTACTTTTGACGCGGCGCTCGCGACTGTTGGTATCAGAGTCAAGGTTCCTAACATCTGCACAAGCACAGGCGGAGAACTTCACACTTGCTGAGATGAGCAAACGAGGCGCAGGGTTCTCAACAAACCTTCTTCCTTAAAAGCTTGCCGTCCTCGTCAATCCAAACTTTCCGGTCATCATCCGACACACTCACGACGGTCAGATTCTTCAGGCAGTCTTGTCCGCGTAGCGCAGAGAAAACAAGGATGGCAGCGGCCGTAGTCTCTGGGCTTCGACCACTGACGACGAATCCAGTGCCAGTTCCGACCAATGCATGGTGCTTTTCCGAGAACTCGCCGTAGATGTTCCACAAACAGTGATCGAAGTAGTCTTCCTCCACGACGTGCCATTTGAACATCTTGTTGATGCGCTCGAGCTTCCTTTTCGCCCACGGCTGAAGGTCATGACTCGCAGTGTAGATGTGCTTTGTTGTGAAGGCTTGACTGAGACTCGTCCACGTGCTTCCGGCCAACATCGGATTGTTCTCCAGGTATCGGCTCAGTCCGAGTTCAAGAAGAGGGCCCGTGGCATATAGCGCTTTGACTCGAGAGAGCTCCTCGAGCAGTCGCAGTCTTTCCCTCTTGTGCATTTCTGTGAGTTCACTCTGGACCTGCACTGTCCTTTCCTTGTCCTGTATTGTCTTTTCCTTGTCCTGTATTGTCTTTTCCTTGTCCTGTATTGTCTCTTCCATAGCTTCCATAACAAGTCGGGCCCGCTTTGCTTGCCGATCTTGCGGCATCTGATCGAACCATTCGATCAGTTCGCTGCGCATCAGTTCTCTGTACATTGCTAGGTGCTGACAGCTCGAGAGCCGAGAACTGGCAGCTCAAGTTGAGAGGTCCTTGCAAACTCAGATCAGAACAAGTGCAAAGCACTCTACTGTGCAGCAGTCCTGAACGTGGATGTAGGGCGTAGTTGTCGCTGACGTCCAGGCCGTAAGAGTAGGCCAGCGTTTCAGCAGACAAAGGAAGCGATGTGGCAGAGAGAGAGAGAGAGCGAGCGTTACAACCCACAACCCTTAACCCTAAACCCTGAACCAAATTCTACGAGGAACCCTTCGCCCCTTTTGAGTAATAATGCCACCTTAGAGACAATAGATGGGGTTATGGTTACTCCTAAAATTGTGTTGATAATGGGGTAGTAGTCGTGATATAATGGTGAAGTTTAGGGGGGATCCTAGGAATGATCATCTAATGGGGGAAGTAGTAGTGATTTATCGGTGAAATGTAGGGGGGAGTATAGGGATAATCATCTAATGGGGGTAGTAGTAGTGATTTATCGGTGAAATGTAGGGGGGAGTATAGGGATAATCATCTAATGGGGGTAGTAGTAGTGATTTATCGGTGAAATGTAGGGGGGAGTATAGGGATAATCATCTAATGGGTTGGCGGTGGCATTATTACCCAAACTGGGCAAGGTCTACTCTGACTGTTTCTGCATGAGGGTTTTTTAAAGTGCACCGACCTTTATCCACTCCGCCAAGCGACGAAGCAGGGATGTATGAGGGTTTAGGGTTCAGGCTTTGAGGTTTGGGGATTGTTTGGGGTTTAGCCTTACCCACTTCACGCATAACGGGCTGGCCAGAAAACATCTCACGACACTGCAGCTTCGTGTCCGATGTGACGGTTCATAACCTCGGGAGCCCTATGCAACTGCGATGGCAATGGAACCTCATAATATCCTAATAAGTAGAATAGGCTTTTGGTGTATTTTGTAGTAGAATTATGGCAAGGATCCCTACTTGGAGGATCGGGGGACTTCAACTAAGTAGCTATTCTGTAGAGCTATAAGTACCATAACCCCAGTTAGGATCCCTTTTAGGGTGCATATACGTCTACTTATTACATACTTACTTACTCAATCCCCCGACCCTCCAGGTAAGGATCGATACTAGAAAACATTCAAGCCCCTCTGCAATACAGTAGCATACGACAAGATCAGCCCCAAACATTGCTGGCTGGTACTACAATGTAGACGCCTGAAAATTGCTTTGTTTAGGGTTCCTTTTTCCTCCAAGCGGGTAAATCTAACCTGGATGCTTAACAACCTGCCCATTACGGTTGTTCTATGATTTCCTTATATGAATCCTTAAAATAGTCGACTTTCTGGGTTCAGCTAAATCCCGAAATATCTCGACCCCCAACATGGCTGCTGCCATCAACGCTATACTCCTACCAATTCCTAGGCAATCCTAGGCATCTTCCAAGGGGGGTTTCGGTTGTAGGTTCCAACAAGAAGATGTACAAAATTTAAAGGCGGCAAGATCATTAATTTGTCAAACCTCTCTACTGCCATTTCGGGCTTGGGAGATGGACCTGAAATTGGAACTTCGGGCTGAATCTAGGCTTCGGCCATTCTGCGGGGGTTGGTTTCAATCTTCAGATGCAGTTCAGTCTTGGGCTTAGGTCTCGGGTTGCAGGACTTCGGTGTCTCCTTTTACCAGCTATCGCCGAGGCAACGGCATCGGCAAGGAACGCCGACCGATCAGCGGGGCGCTTTCCGTGCACGAGGTCCTGACAAAGTAGAACTGCACTGCGAATTTCAAGCTTTAGGTTGCGGTCTCGGGGGAAGACGAGAGTAGGAGGGGCGACATGAACTTTCGAGGGTTGAGGTCAAGGGCTGGAGATTGAGGGTTTAATGCTGGATATGGAAGCTCGACGAATTCCGAGCCGAGGCCACGGCATCGCCAGGGCCCACTCCGCTCACGAAGCCCTGACAAAGCAGAGCTGCACTGCAAATTTTGGGGGGATAGTTGGAGGTTCTTTGTGGGAAAGCTCAAGTTTACGTTGTAGGGCTTCTAGGGGAGGGGACAAGGGCGGGGGGGGTTGGGGGCACGAGCAAACTTGACGATGGAATGTGCGACGAGGCCAGCTTCGTTCACGCAGCCCTGTCAAAGTAGAACTGCACCATACTGCACTACGAGTTTCAAGGGTCTCGAGGGGACGTTCGAGTCTAGGCTCCTGCAAACACGACGATGGAACTGCATCGACTCGGCTTCGCTGAGGCCTCGACATCGTCAACGAGGATTTCGGGGTCCTCAAATCAAGAGGGAAGGAAGGTACTTAAACCCGGCCAACCCTCTAAAGAACCAGGGCATCTAGCTGCATTGCCCTTCTTTTTCTTGAGCCAAAGTGGCGTTCGTAGTCTGACTTCACAAGTGAAACCTGGGCCCCTGAAGCATTAAAGCAGGGCCTCTCAACCTAACCTCTGTAACCTCCTCTGTCGGGTCTCTGGGGCTATGTTCTTTCAACTCCCCCCTCGCCAGAGTCAGCTACAGGAAAGACTGCGAACTACTTGAAACTGTACAATGGGGCGCTTAAAGCAGCCCCCTAAGCACACGGGCGCCTACGGCAGCCCCCCTAGCGGAAGAGCGCTAAAAGCAGCTCCCTCCGGCAAGCTGTGCAAAGGTGAACGTCGCTACTTGGGACTAGACCCCGAAGTGGGAGAGGTGGTAGGGCCACTACCGGCTTTGGTCTTGAGCTGTCTCGTGTCTACCAGAATCTCGGGAAGCTTCTGGCGCATGCCTAACAACTTCAACGCATTATCCCACTTTTGCGGTGGAAGTGCTTTAGTGAAGATGTCGGCAGCCTGCAAGTTTGTATCGACATACTCAATGTCTACATCATCCTCATCAATCACCTCAGAGATGGAACCCAGATTGACCTTATGGGTGCGCGCTATGTGCCTAAGCTTTGGCGAATAGCCCTTCTTCGCAACTAGGATCGTAGCCTGGTTGTCCTCATGAATGACTAACCTGATCGGATAGTCGAGGATGGTCTGCCAGAGCTGCAATGCCGGAAGTGCTTCTTGGAAGAGGCTATGAGCTAAAGACACAATCTCGGACTCTGTGGTACTGCGACTCACAGACGTCTGGCGCTTGGACACCCATGCAAGAGGAAAGAAGGTGTTGGGACCTTTTAGGACTAAGAAACCTCCACTGGTGGATTTGGCATCGTCCCTTTCCCCTGCAAAGTCGGCATCAACGTAGAGCGCAAGATGCAGCTCCCTTGGCCCGTCCGATACAGTGCCTACAAGGCGGTGGGTCTTAGTGGAATCGATGTAGCTTATCAGGCGAAGAAGCTTCTTATCATCGTTCCTCGACCACTTTTGCACCTTGGTCGCGAGGTCACCTATCGGCTTGACTAAGTCAGGACGTGCAAGTCTGCCTAGCCAAAGGGCCTTCATCAGCACCTTACATGCGTTAGGAGCCAGCTCCCCAGCAATCTCCTCTTGACTTACTGGAAGTGAAGCCTCAGGAGCGAAAGGTGTGGCAGCATGCTTTAGAGTCTTAAGGCCAGTAAGGCCCTTGTATAGGTCTACTGTCTGCTGTGCGTAATCAAACATATCAAACGCCATGGCACCCTTTAATGCGCCTAGGGCAGCATTCTCGGTGCCTTCGGGCTCGGCGTTGATAGTGCAATGGTTGCGGCCTAAGATCCTATACACAGGCTCCGGGGGTTCTACATCAACAACCTTACATAAAGCATCCCAAAACGGTTGGTGCTCCTCCTGTGGTCCAGAGAGGGTAAGATCATCTACATAAGTGGAAAGAAGGAGCTTAGTCTCAGGAAACCAAAAGTTACCTGGATATTCCGGCAGTTCTTGTCCACCCATATTCCTAAGAACCTCCTTAAGGTGTTTCTCCCACAGTCCGCCCGCTTCTGGGTGGCCATACAGTGCGCGTAGAAGCAGCACTACTGGTTTTGCAAAACACTCACGCCACCAAGCAGGACGAAGTTCAGGTGGTAGCTCTATCCAAGTTTGGTACTTGGATTTAAGGAGAGCTTGCACATACGCTTTGACGGCGTCTGCGGCACTGGACTGATGGCCAGGTAAGCTACCGTAAGCTAAACAGGCATTAAGTCCCTGAACAGAGGTGGGGTTTGCACCTAACTCTCTGTAAACCGCTGCGGCGCCCTCTTCGTCCTTCGCACAGTCACCCCGGTACACGATTCGGCCTTTAACCTTCTGAAGGTGCTTGGCAAGTTCCCAAAACTTGATGGACGCAATGCTCATCAGCTTGCCGAAGTGTACCTTAGTGCCCGTGCGGCGCGCTTGCGCTTGGACGCTAGCGTATTCCTGCGGGTTCGTTTCGTCCCACACTGGAACTGCGCGAAGACCGTCTGCTTCCTGTTTCACCGCATTGAGGGCCTCAGGTGAGGAGAGCATTTCGGCCCGAGAGAGAAGTTTCGTCACCATTGCAGACACCTCCTTTGAGGGTGCTTCCTTAGGTATGCCATGAACTGCACACATAAGGGCGGAAAGGTCGACGACCTCTTCTACGAGCTTAGAAGCCTCCTGGTCGGACTCTATTACGGCGGCAAGGTCCTCGTATCCGCTGAGAGCGGAAACGTGCTTCAGTTCCTGTTCCTTTTCGCGGTGTTCAGTGGTTGTGGAAGTGGGTAAGATCGGCATCGCAGGAACCGAGATATAGGCCCTACTGGGGTTGATGGCAAAGGCGATGCGCTCACACATCTCTTGCGTGTACAACCCAGTGAGTTCAAGATCCTTTCCCCGAGCCTCGACGTGCTCACTGGGATCATGGTTGCAGGTGATCCCTTCAAAGGCTGATACGATAGATGTGGATGTTGTCATGAGGCGCCATGGTTTCTTAACCGGCTGCCCCCCTGAAGCAGACACACCTAACATACAACCATCAAAGTCAACAACCTTAAACCTAGGATCCTTAAAGAACTCCTTTACATCAGGCCTCTTCCATGAATCGGAATACCTCGGCCACTCAAAAGTGACGTCAATCCCGAGGTCAAGCGCGGTCTTAGCATGCTCAGCAAACTGTGCGAACAACTTCTTAGACCTATGAATCTTTTGCAGGAGTCGTGTGCGATACTCGCCACCGCCCCTCTTGAGCTGAACGCGATGCCATTGGCATCCAGAGGTGCAGGGCAGAGACACCCAGAGGTGACTCTTCGGACACGCCCTAAACTGTTCGTGCAGTTGGGCAGCTACAAGCTCGTTCTCAACGTCCAAGGTCTCTTTGGCGAGGCGTACGTGTGGTACTCCAAGCTCCTCGTTTACACGCCCTAACATTGAGTTTTGGGAACATGCATACTCGAAGACAGTCGTGAGCTTAGTAGGCTTCCCTCTCCTTCGACTCCGCTTGTTACCTCTTAGGTGTGCTTTGTCTTCCCCGAAACGTGGTGTGGAGGGGGCAGCTAAACCGAAAACAGGTAGGTCTTCCTTTCCGCGTACAGTGTCCAAAAGACACGTGGCACTGGCAGTGCACGGTGGCAAGGCAGCGCCTGCTGAAACAACGCTCACGGTAGCAGAGGCAGGAGGTACCGGAGTGCTTGGTGCTACGCTTGGAGCTGGGGTTTCTGGAGCAGCGCTTGGAAAGGGAGTCTCTGGTGCAACACTTGGTGCGGGAGTCTCGGGTGACTCACCTAGGGCGCGAAGCGCAGCCCTCCTTGCGGCAGCTTCTTCCTTGTCTGCTTTAACAAGCTCGGCAAAGCGTGCTCTGCAAGTGTCGGTGTGCTTTGTGGCCTTACCTCTACACGCTAAGCAACCCGGCGTTTCCCCGAACTTAACAATCCTATCAGCGGTGATATAAACCGTCCTAACGCCAGGTGTTCTGGGCGCCGGCGGCCCGATGCTTTCAAGAGCAAAGGGAATCTCCCGCAATGGGATCTCGGGCAGTGCGCCAGAGGCAGCACTCAAAGTGGAGCCGTCGACTAGCGCCTTACGGGTAGCGTTTGCAACAGGGAAGATGGGCGGACCGTCTTCGATGTACAGCTCAGGTTCTGGGACATCATGAACAGATGTGTTGCGTTTGCCGCGAAAGTCATTGTAATCAAGAACCTTAACAACATTGCGATAGCGCATACCAGCGTCTATCCGCCACCCTAGGAAAAGCCCTGGTGACATGTTGGGTTCAAGAGTACGCTTAGAACCTTTAGAGCGGTACCAGACCAGTTGCCCAAAACAGGCCCTCTTCCCATTGAAGGGCTCCTTTGTGAGGGCCTCCCACTGTGTGACCCCCCCTATCGGTGCACTCCTGTCGAAGGACAAGGAAAGGCACGCGTAAGGGTACGAGTAAGAATGCATGTCGTATGGCAAACCACTCTGTAAGTGGATAGCTCGGCAGCACTCTTTCTCCTCGCGGATATCCCTCTCCAGCAAGGCGTTGTGAGGCCATCTGTTGGGAAGAGAGGGTTCCGGGGTCAAGCCTACCTCCTCCGCCGCTACTATCAACTCACCTGCTTCATCTAATTTAATGAGACAGGTTGGCGACAGCTCGTGCGCCCTAAGACCTATAAAGTGCCGAAAGTTACGTGCGTGCTGGGCAGCACCCCTACGAGTCATAGGGTACGCAACTCTAGCCCCTGAGAAAACATCCCTTACAACATGATGTGACTTCACTCCGCCGGTTCCTATGCCTCGGTGTTCGTCACCTTTGGCCATGATGACATCATCAGTGGCGAGCTGTTGAAACGGTGCAGTGGGAACATCAATCATGTCATCTGCCTTGGCATCGGGCTTGTGAGCCACACGCATTGAGGTGGTCTTGGCGATGTGACAGATCTTGCAAAAGGGATTCTTAGGAAAGTGGGTCCTAAGGTGTTTCTCAGACGTGGCTTCGGCTCTAAGTTCTTCGGTCTTAGAGTGAGGCTCTGGAGGAGGTGGCACCAGCGGTAGTTGCTCTGTGGAAGGGGCGCTTGGAGCAGCCCCCTCACGCGAACTAGAGGCGCCTGAGGCAGCCTCCTTGGCTGTTGTGCCTTCGGCGGGCTGCTGCGTACCTGCGGGCTTTCCCTTGAAGAGTTCAGGAAAGAGTTCTTCTTCGGAGCTCTCACTGGCAGCTGTCTCACCTACAGCGCCTTCGCGAAAAAGCCGCTTCGCTTCAGCCTTCTTCTCTGCATGCTTCTCGACGACGTCGGCTTGCCAATCATAATCGCCAGAGGTTGTGCGGGGATAGCTTGCCTCAGCCTCTTCAAGATCTGCGACCTCGAAATCGCTGAACGACACAGTATCATCATCCTTCGGCGCGGGGGATGCCGATGCAGTAACGGGGCTTAGGCTTG